CCCCCCTCCCCCCCCTTTTTTTATGATTCTAACTTGATTCCAAAAGAGGGGAGGCCAAAGAGATCAGCACATGCTCAAAAGGGTACCGAAGGGTATAAAAGTGTTTGGGTAGCTGAAAGGGGGCCTGCCAATCTCTGAAAATGCCACGTACGACACATGCAACTTGAGGATAAAAAATAAAGATCGTGCACAATATTTCTTTTGTAGCATCGACATTGATATCCCAGATATGCCTTCCATCTTTCTTTAGTGCCGTGTCAAGTACCGAACTCTCATTGGGTGATTTCTTCTTCACAATGAATACCCTCCGTCAGTTTGGGACAAACTCCCTTTGCTCTATCTTGTAACTTGAGATGCACTTGAACTCAAAGTTGCTTTCTTCAAATTGTCTAGGACGCACTCTCTTATACCAAATCCTTGTCGTCCTATTAACTTCCCAAACTATCTGCCCAGTTTCATATAATTCGGGCTTTAAATGATCTCAAAATATCCAAATCTTTACTTATTCCCCTCAAATGTCCCTATCATCTTCAAAACTTGTTTCATTGCTTACTGATTAGACTAACTTTCAAGACCAGGTTGAGAATTCCACGTGTAAGTCATGTCACTAGAGTCAGCATGAAAAGAACTTTAAAAGAAAAAGAGAACTAAATAAAAATTGACTAGAAATAACAGAAAACATGAGATTGCATTAGACAGACGGTGAAAGGGTTTGAAAAACAAAACGAGCAAAATAGATATGGGTTACAACCCTGGAATGATCCTAGATAACACTAGACGAGTTACTACAACTAAAAGAACTAGGCAAAATATGAGGAAGAAGGGTTTGAGCCACAAGACAATATCCGAATTACGACCCTGAAATAACCCGGACAACAGAAATGACAACAAAATAAATCACCAAAACTCCTCCCTGGCTAGCAAAGAAAGGAGTGCCTTTCCAATTTCCAAGCCCGATATCTTAGCCATTGAGTCGCACATCAACATTACTAGGACCTTCACAAATCTCCATCACATTGACCTCAAAAAATTACTTTTGGGCCCCTTTTGCCACCTCGTTCTTAAGATCAACTTCTGGAACCAAGACTGATAGCGTTGAAAACTTTGCGGTAAGTGGTATTCCAAGGAATTCAGAAGAGTTCTCATATTCCTTTTCAACATAAATCATGCCCACCATATGCGTCTCATTATGAACATGCAAAGGACTTTGGCTAGTATCCGTTGTATCTGGATTTTGCACGGTAATGTCACCTGCATCAATAAGCTTATGGACTGCTCTTTTCAGATGCCAACGCTTTTCTATACTGTGCCCCGGGGAATTAGAGCAATATGCACACCTTTGAGAATAATCAAAATTCTTTGGAAGGGGGTTCATCATTTTTATCTGAGTCGGCTTCAACATGTCCAATTGCCTCAACCTTTGGAACCAACTGGCATATGATTCTCTAATAGTAGTGAAAGACTTTTCCTTTTGTTGCTGCCTTTTCATTTGTACTCCGGGCTTGGTTGGAACCTCTTGAGGGTAGGTGATTTATATGCTTGTAGATGTGGGTAAGACATTTGTGGAGGTGGTGCAGGCCATTACGAGTCCTGTGGATGTGGAGTATATGGCGGTGCATTATGGATAGAGTAGTGGGAAGGTGAGGTATGACTTTAGAGATTTTGTGGAGAGAAGTAGCATCTGGGAGGATTATCTGGAGTACGAAGATATTCATGGGGTCGATGTTGAGGTTGAGAGCGTTGAGCAGGAATGCCCACTGGGACTTGTCATTGGCGAGGCTCAACAACATTAGGAGGGCTATTTTTGGGAAAGGTAGTTGGAGGATGAACGATGGAGCTACTAGGGAGGTTAGGAAAGCTGTGATAAGCGGGAAAATTCGGAGAATATGGTGGATCATTTGACACTATGACCGGAGCTTGGGTAAGGGTAGCATCTACGAAGCTAGGTGGTGGCGGGGGTGGTGCCTTCCCAGTCATCCAAGCCTGATACATGTCTGCCACGTGTTGTCTCAATATCCTTGCCTCTTCAACCAACCTAATGTCCCGTTCAACCAACTGCTTTCGGGTACCAATATCGACTAACTCAACTCTGTTGTCGTCTGCCATTGCCTTTCGACTTTATGTTGTAGGAAAGAGTTACCAGTTTAAGAACCACAAACCAACCACCCTTATGCTATAATAAAGATAACAAAGAGTAACAAAATAAAGTCATCACATTAGCGTTAGGGCATTTAACATAAGATAATCTCACATTATGTGCAATGCACCTAGTCACAGTTATCAGTTCTAAAATGACTTCGAGGGTACGAAGGTCACATTGGCATCATCCCAAGTTCACTCTTCTTGCCACTTTTCCTCTTCACTTTCATTTCCTTGCTGCTCCTTGGGTTTTCAATGTCTTCCCTCTCTTTCTTTTCCGATTATCGCTCTTTTCTTACATCCTACAGTTTCTCTCAATTTTCACATCCCACAACTTCATCTTCTTTTTTTTAAAAAATTTTTCTTTCAAAAATAATTTGATCGAACCATATGTAGGTTGCCTACGTATCATATTCCACATGAATCAGACCAAGCGTAGTTCTGGAAAAGTAATGGACAAAATATACAAAAAAAATAAAAATATTTTTGGATTTTTCATTTATAACTTTTTTTTGGTTTTCACATACAAAATAGGAAATACGATAACAAAAGACTCGGCGAACTCAACTAGACTATGACAGACTGTGACACTACCGAAAAGAATCATTACTACTGGACAAGACATGTAAAATAAAAGATAAAATAGACTCAAAATATAAAAAGTCTCCTCAAACAGCTGCTGAAAGCAACGGTCCTGACTAAGATGTCCATGTGGTATCTGTCATGTTCGAGCTGTGATAAATGAATCCATACTTGAATAAGGAAAATAAGACCAAATAGAGTTAGTGACTCGAGGCACTATGTGAGACCATAATGCTTCCTATTGGGCTATGCAAGGCACGAGTGAGGCTATCTTTGCAAAATGACCTACGTGGCCTAAATGTGGCTTGAAGTGAAAACTCAATTAGGACGACCTCTAAAACATGGAAACACCTCACGAAGGCCCATAAACTCTCAGGAATCGCGATCCCTAAAGTTGCTTTGTGAAAATGACCCCACTTTGCAGAAATGGCCTATGTGACCGAAAATGGTTGAACATGCAAATTCAATAGGAATGGACCTTAAACTAAGAGGACACCTTGTGGTAGACTTAAGACTCTAAGACATGAGTTAACAAGCCACATTTGTGAAAATATCCCTATTTTGCAAAAATAGCCGATGTGGCCGAACATGGCTAGACATGCAAGATTTGGCTAAGACCCCGCGAAGCCAAGAACTTAAGACTCACTAGGAAGACTGGACCCTATGTGGGCTGCCTACGTATCCCGCCCCGAAAGATGAGAATCAGGTATGCGTAGTTCGGAAAGATTGGATATAGGAGAAAGCTTTGAAAAATGCAATTAATTTGGAAAAAATATTTTTTGTCTTTTTTGAAAATGATAAGAAAGTGTAAAATCTTTTTGCTTTTTTTTTCTTTTAGAAAATGGAGCAATAATCTAAAAGTGACAAGACCCTCAATATTCTCTCTTGCTTCATTTTTCACC